TCAAGGTTGATTTAAAAACTGCAAAGCCGCTTAGGAGAGAGGAATGGGGGTGGGGTGGGGCGGGAACAAAAGTAGGAAGGAGGAAGAAGGCAGGGCGCTATAGCAGAAAGAGCACAGGCTCTGGGAGTGGGGCAACGTAGTTTCCACATCCCAGCTCTGCCATTTACTGTGTATGACTCTGGCAGGGCACTAAACTGCTCAGAGCCTCTGTCTCTCCACCTGTAAAGAGAAATGATTATACCACTGACACTTCTCAAGGAGGTTTTGAGAAGTGGAGATGATGCCTCTGACGGGCCTGGCATGCAGCAGACCCCCAGAAACGGAAACCTCTATGGAGTGAGGCAGAGCTGTTTCAGGAATGGACCATATGTCACTCAGTGTGACATGAGGAAAGCGTGTCTCATTTAAAGCTTGTCCTTCTGTCTTGATTACATTTCAGTTCTTAAGAAGACATCTTGCAGTTTGTTTCCGAGAGGTGTAGCCCGGGCCAAGACGTTTCGGATTCCGTCTCTGGTGGGGGCATCGTTTGGCAGTTCTTTGAGAATTCACTCTTCTGAACTTCTTCCAGTGGCTTTCCCTTCTATCAGGAGACTATTTTAAATATCAAGGATCAGCACTGCAGCTGCTTCTGAGGCTGATGCTCTCACCCCTGCTGTCTCGGTCAGACCTCGTTATTTTTCATAATAGCTCTTAAAACAACTGGTTTTAGCTCTGGAGGCATTTATGATGACAAACGGAGGAATAAAACTGGGGAGCCCTATTTCTCCCACCCACCCTCTCTCTTCACCCACACTCTTTTCCTAGCAACAGCTCTTTTCTCAACTCTTGGGCCTACGTCTTCCGTCCCACCTACACCAGTAGCAGCAAAATATGGGGGTGAGAAGGCTGGAGTGGGGGGTGGTCGAGGTGCAGGAGGAGGAATGGGGGAAGAGCTTCAGGGAGGAGGCTGATGAAGCACAAAAGGTTCTGACCTCCTTGGAAGAAGAGGAAACCACAAGGGCTGGCTTAGCTTGGGAGGCTGCCAAGGAACTGAAGCAGAGAAGGGCCAGGTTAGGAGGGCAGGCGGCAGAGTGGTAGGGAGGTGGGCTGGGCTGAAGGACAAACAAAACAGTACAGTCAGGGAAAGGTTTGTCAGCTGTGGGGACACTGTGAACAGTGTGGATGACTGGCATCTGCCAGTCTGTAAAAAAGAAACTTGGGGTGCCTATTCGGGGAAGAGCAGTCCCTGGATCTTAGAACTTCAAGGTGGAAGCGGTGGTGTTTCTCAACCCTGGCTGCATATTAGAATCATCTGGGGAGCTTAAAAGGCTACTGATTCCTCATCACATTCAAGTATTGACTGTGGGTGGGTCCTACCTATCAGTATTTTTATAAAGTTGACAGAATAACTCTGACGGGCAGCCAGGGTTGAGAACTGCTGAAGTCCAGTCCTACTTAGAGCAGGAATGTCCCTTCTATAACATCTCTGGTGGAACCAAGATTTAATCTCAGTTCTACCTCACTTTGAAGCCAGTAAGTACATCCACCTTTTTTCTTTTAAGCTTCCTATGATGATGATGTGCGTACTTCAGACTGTTGACTAAGTCTGAACTCTGAGCTTCAAGAGATCTACAGCTGCCCCTCCCCACACTCTTTCCCCTGTAATAAAGGGAGACTAGCCCCTTCCCATGATTTTTTTAAAAATCTTTCGATTCTGCCTTTAAGGGGTATGAGAAGCTGGGACAAATAGCCTGTTTGTTTTTGCTCTTTCCTTCTCCAGATTCACTTCAGACATTTTGATTGATGTCACTTTAAAGCAAATATTCAGGACAAGTCTGGAGGGAGGGGGAAATAGCAGGAGACTGCCATCCCCAGTGGAGTCGTGTAAGAGAGGCTGGGGTTGGATACGAGGAAGAGGTGTTGCTTGGTGATGGTGGTGCAGGTATATGGGACTCAGCTCCTGGGCATGAACCGCAGTCTGTTTCTTTAGCACCAGCTGGTGGAGCCGTCGCCTTCTCTCTCATTGCTGCCTTCCTGAATCACTGCCCAGCTGCCAGTCTGTTCTTTGTTTTCCCTAAGCTGTCCACCCTCCTCACCCAGATCTGCCCGCCCTGGTCCATCAGCACACAGACTATAATTCAGGATGTCACAGTCATAGAGGAGGTCCGCTCGAGGTCCAGTGGGGAGGTGACCCCTCCAAGGTCACATGGTGGCAAAGCCACGGCTCCCTTTCAGTTCTCTTTCCATGATTTCGGCCCCTCTCCTCAGTGAGGTTGGGCTCACTCGATGGCAGACAGTTTTGATTGGTCTGTAACTGGGTTGCTGTCTCCGAGGGGCCACAGATCCCCTTTCTTTCCAGACCTGGGCTATACTAGAGGCCTGACAAGGACACAGCAGGATGGGTGCCTAGGACGCCACAGGCCTGTGACGTGGGCGAGCCATCCTGGCTGCTGTTCATGACTTCAGCCAGCTTCAAGCTGGCCAAGTCCTTTTCAGAGAGAGTCCTGAAGAGGGCAGGGTCCCTTTATTGCCAAGACTCCTCTGTGCACCCTCTGACAAGCGGCTGGCCCTGCTCCCAGCTGCCGGCCTTGCCCATTCCCTTCCTGGTGGCTGGCTAGGGGCCACCAGAGGGAGAGAAGATGCAGCTGAGTCATGAGCTCACAGCAGCTGTTGTCTTCTTCTAATCAGATCCCTCTGTGTTCTGAAGTGGAAGCTTTAGAACAATTGGGAACATAAGCAGTATGCTAAACTCCCAAGACGTGGGGACCTTGTGCTCTGGAGAGAGCGTCCAGTGGCCACTCGCCTCATCTGAAGCTGCCTCCTTCCTCCTACGGCGCCGATGACTCCCGGTTCTCCGCTGTGCTGTGACGAGGAGGCCCTTGTTCTCTCCTCTGCAGAGTTCCTCGAGCAACCGCTCTATTTTCTGGGATTCAGGCTCTTGTTGATTGTGACTATTTTTGCCTAAACATCTGTGCATTTAAAGAGCTTGTGGTTGTTACTTGTACATGGGTGTTGTTTATTCTGCGCTGCTGCTACCTGGCTAGAGAATCTGGCAATTGCTTAGTTTTTTTGTGCTTAGTAGGTCGAAAGTCAGACTTACTACACCCATTCGTTTGTGGAGCACGAGCTTTGGATTGCAGGAGAGCAATAGGTCTGGTTATTCTCAGGCTTACTTTCAGTGACTAAATATGAAATTTTATTCGTCCTCTCCCTTATTTGCCTCATATAAAACCAACTAATGGACCTTGGCTGAAAGAGCAAACTAATTTACCATCAGAGAGTGAAATCCAACATCTGCTTCCTTTTGGTAGAACAACATAGCTAATTTTTTTTAAAGGGGATGCTATGTAAAATGTATAATTTTAATCCTAAAATTAAAATTTCAGGTATAAGTATGTTATGTAATAGCAAGTAAGAGCTTGGCTTTAAAAATAAATCTTTCAAAATGCAAATTGAGTTGTCAAATTCTCATGCCTTTTAGTTAAAATAGTCACTACTGCCATTTCTGGAAATCTGTGGCTCTGAATTTCTCATAGATCCTAGACTCTTAACATTTGGGCAAAACATTTAATCATTTTCCCTCTTGTGTCCTCACTTCCCAACCCTAGAATCAAAATGCAGTTTTGGAGAAGAATTTGTTGGTCCTTACTAAGTATTTAGTACAGTTACTGTTCTTTTCCACAAGTTTATTGGCATTTAAAGCACTGTGCTTGAAATATCTTTACAACCAGTGATCATTAAAGCATAATGAACTAAGTACGAGGGGACCTCTTAATGATGCTGGTATTGAAGAATAATATTCCCTGCAAGAGCTGAAAGGCTCCTGCCCTTTGCTGACGCTAGCCATCATGAAAACTTCAGGTAAATCCTTGTATGTAGAACTGGTTCCCTACATCAGGCTGTGGGTGCTAAATCGTCGTTTAAGGACTGCATGTGTGGCCTATCCACATTTTAATGATGACAAGATCACAGGGAGCTGGATAAGCACAACCACAGAAGACCACTTAGTTTTGTTTCGCCTACTTATACCCTAAGTATTCAGAATGTCATTTATATTACACACACACACAGGTCATTATCAAATACAAAATGAAAATGGAGAAAGCAGGTCATTCCAATACTTTTTATTTGAGTGTGAAACCATTCATATCTTGCACAACTGTACAGATAAAACTATGTCCATTTTAGCTGTAGACATGATTATCACACTGAGTGGTGTGATCAAATGTTTTATTTACAGAACAACTGCTAAAACATCCGATGTCATGTTTCCATTTATTTCTTACCCATAGGGTAATAGGTCCACCATAATTTCTTGGTGTTTTTTATAATACAGAAAGAAAACCTATGTTAATCTCTAACAAACCTCACAAATTGCTACAAATCTAACAGAAAAATGCCTACGAAAAGATTTTCCAAAAGTACAATACATTTTTATTTCCACACATACACAGTATAGTATAGGTTCAAAGGCACAGCTTTGATTTTTTTCTATCAAAGTGTCGGAAATTATTATAGTCTTATGAAGGAACCATGAAAGTCATTTTCACACTTGGTGCTTGGTAAGTTAAAAGTTTGGTCCATTCAGTTTCACAGAGTTAATATAGCAGAGCTGAGTATGATACTCAATGCCATAAATCCACATTCTCTCAGAACTTTAAAAACCCCTTTCCTGCCTTTTGCTGACACTAGCCATTGTGCAAACTTAGGACAAATACTTGCATGTAGAAGAACCGGTCCCCTACAAACCTCACTCAACTTAAGGCATACAGAACAGGCCTCTTCCTTCCCCCTAAACAGTGCTTACATTTCCAAGGCAATGCAGGTACTGTGACAGACATAAGTGTAACAGGGAATCTAGAGTTTCCAGATACCTCCACTTAGCCCTGGTGCTCCAGGAAGCAGTGACGACACCACCAGGAAGAAGGGATGCTTAGGACATATCTGAGGGGGCTGTCTGTTGTACAGTAAGATGACAGCCAGATGGAAAGGTGAATGCTCTTGGTTAAATTATGTGCCCATCCAAAAGCACAAACCAGATTCCGTCTCTAGTATCCACCCTTCAAGACTAAAGAGCTTCTGTCAACAGGAAAATAGGTAATTTACTGGCAATGGTTGCCAACATAAAGTGAAGGCATGGAACAGAGGGAAAAGGGACAGGTCGGCCTGCCCGAGATAGTGCTCTATACAAACAGTCAAGTCTGGCTTGGCTACAGGAACCCAACCTCACTGACTTTTAGTGAGTCCCATTTCTGAACTAAAGTTTATCATCCCACACTGAATCCCAGCCTCATATTCATTAGGAAGATGGACGCCTAGGAATAGTCCAGGAGTTATGATGTATTGAGATAAAATTCTTCTGGGGGGTGGGTGTTGAGTTTATTATTATTATTATTAATTATTATTAATATTAAATATGGATTTCTATGAAAGCAGTCACTTAGCCCATCCTGTGGAGGCCTCTCCGTTGATGTAAGCAAAGCCAGGAAAGTGTTGCATGTGCTCATACTCAGAATTCCTGCGCGTGGTCAGGGGTGTGTACATGTCACTAGAGTTTCCATACCTCGTGGAATGCACAGACGGGCTTGTGTAGCACGTGTTGGCTGTGGGCACCTCTGGCCATCGGGGGGTGACTGGGGTAGGATGCAGTCTGGGAGTACTGCTCATCAAACAAGGTTCCATCCGGGAAGTGGGGCTATTAAACGGGTACTTGTTGAGGGGAAAGAAATTCCACAAAGTTAACATTAGCTTGAAGTTGCACATACACAATATCAGTCATGTTCACAGTTTAAGTTAAATTTCTTAAGACGCTGTTAATGAAAGTTGATGGGAAGTAATCAGTGAAATTCTGAAAGACTGACTCTTGGTCTAGGAAGTATATAACAGGAGAAATGCAAAGGATTTCACAGCCAGAGCTAGGCTGATAGCCACTCAACCAAAAATACTGACTTTTTGTGCTCTTAATCTGCAATATTTGGGGAAGTCAAACCCAAAAGAAGGAATAACCCCACTGGGAATACAGGAGAGAGGGGGAGAGGGAGAGAGGGAGGGGGAGGGAGGGAGAGAGAGAGAGAGAGAGAGAGAGAGAGAGAGAGAGAGAGAGAGTGTGTGTGTGTGTGTGTGTGTGTGTGTGTGTGTGTGTGTGTACAGGAGGAACAGCATGTCCAAATAGATACGGATATATGGATGGATGGTTTTGAGCTTTATCATTTTAGGAGATGTGATAGGTCCCACTCCATCAACCCAAGAGAACAATACTGTCAAGAAAAACACAATGACATCATTAAAAATAGCATTTTACAGTTGAATTCAATTATGAACTGCAACCTAAAAGCAGGCTTTTGAAGAGGAAGCAAGTCAACAGCTTCAAAGGTTATTATTAGTGCCTATCATTCAGAGAACATCTCTCTTTTTGGTTCACATTCACTGAAGTCCTAGAAGATATACAAGCAGGAAATGGTAAATTATTGGGCTTGGTGTGAATGTGGAAGAAGGAGTCAAGATAAGCCAAATGGGAGGGGAGGTGCTTTTGTGCAGGCCAGGAAAACAGGTGTTAATAGCTACAAGAAGAGGGGAAGCTGTTCTGGAAAGAATCGAGAATAAGAGGAGTGCCCCTGAAGTGCTGCTTCTTTTACATTCTTTTCAGTTACCGAGACAGCTATGCAAATAAGCCGCTTTTAGTACAATCAGAGGGGAGGAAGGGGAGGAGCTCTGGGCTCCCTTTGCGAGCTCCGGGGTCTGCAGGCCAGGCAGCACAAAGATTTCCTTGCTGTGCTAAGGGCCACCCCAACAAGAGCAGGAGCCAGTCAACAAGGGTGGCAAGGGCAACGAGTAGGGAGAGCGCCTATATGTGCTAATGTCGGAATTCGTCTGCTCCCCATCTGTCTTCCCTGACAGTTGGAGAGTGGAGCCCCGAGGGATTCGGTGGGAAGCTGCCCCCTGTGAGGGAGACAGACAGGCTGAAGCCTAGACAGCCAGGAGAAGGGGTTATGACAACAGTGGTGCCCCCTGTAGTCGAGCGGGCCAGAGGGGAACTGTTCTGCCTCTTTGAGTGGCAGCCCGAGGGGCAGCAGGGGAAGGCTGTTAGGCCCAAAGCATGCAAAGAGAACCAGCTATTCACAGGTCAAGGAGGAGGGCGCCAAGTTCTAGTAGTGAGGGTTTTGTCCTACCTAGGACAGACAACACGCCTTCTGCAGTCAGAAGAACAGGTAGGCAAGAGGGAGAAGGGCGTAGCTGGTATCTGGGATCTGGGGGGACAAGGCACCAGGGGGTGTTGCCAAGGAGACCAGGGAGAGCGCACGGAGCCTTTCATAATCCCCAAATCAGCTGCGTGTACGGCAGCCACGGTGGACCCTCAGGCCTGGGCGCTGGGATTCTAGCCTAGGACCCATTCTAAACCCCGAAGAGACCGTACTGAGATTGGGCCCTGCCCAAGATATCAAGATCCCGGGTGTTAAATAGGTAATATTAAGAAGTATTATTACAAAATGGTCTCTAATTTTTTCCAAAAGGTGGCTTCCCCCTCCTGACAGTCTCTCAGGTAAGCTCCCCGGATGCATGTCCCTTCCCTGGCACAGAGGCCTCCTCTCTGGTCCTCTGGCCTGTCCAGCTGGTTCCCACCTCAGAGAATTTTGTCCCACCTGTTGCCTCTGCCTAGAACACTTCTTCCCCACCCCTACCCCCAAGCTCCTTCCATGCTTGCCTTTTCATCATTCTTCAGACCTCAGCTCAAACGTCACCTCTTCAGAGAGACGTTTCTGGACATCCTCTCTCTCCCAGCTAAGTGCCTCACCCCCCATCTCTCAGGTCGGGATCTTAGCATCCTGCTTGTCAGCTGTCTCCTTCCACTGGCTTATATTCCTAAGCTCCTGGTGGGGCTTTGTCATGTTCTCTACCATATGCCCAACATCTGAAATGATGCCTGGCACCTAGCAGGTGCTACATAACTTATCTGGTGAATGAACACCAGGACGTTACCGCTAGAAAGAACGTTAGGGCTCATATAATCCAACCCCACGTTGTACAGATGTTGTACAGAAAACTAGGATCCATAAAGTGGGGCGCCACATGGCAAGCTAGTGGGAGAGCTGGCAGAAAGGCCCGGTCCTGAGCTGGTGACTTTCCTCCACATCAATCTGACTGGCCCAAACGAGGCATGACCCACCACAACTGAACTGCAGAGAATTCAGAGAGGAAGACACTCCTTTCCTGGAACACAGCCCATTAAACTTGAATCTCTCTGTCACTCTTCCTTTAAGCTCCCCCCTCCCCTACAGACCACAGGGTCTTATAACCCTGACCAGGCCTCAGCTTGATGCTTCTGACAGAGTCCTACTTGCCTGGCTTGTGTAGGTACCATGTCACCGTGTGGACTTGGAGGCTCCTCCCCACAGAACCCAAGAGACCGTGTCTTTTGTGCCGAAGCAAGGACCCTAGATGCAGCTGTGCCCAGGGGTTGTGTCACAGGCTCAAAAGAGTAATTGCCTGGAAATGAGACTGGCTCAAAATATCTCCAATGTGACAATAAAATTCTGTTACCACAGAATCCGGCCTGGAAAATTCTGTCCCGTTAGGTCAGCTAATTGCAAATGAGTCAGTGACTCGTCTTCCCCGTGGTGAAGAGACCATTGAGAGCTGAGAGGCTGGAGTGCCGCTGCCCGGCCTGGCCATTAAAGCCGCCAGTGAGGCCTCTCTTTAGTCTGGCGGGAGCACCCGCCTCACCTTTCACACTTCACATCCGGGTTCACGCGGGCTCCTCGGGCCCACTGGGCACAAACCCTGAGGTCCCGAGAGCTCTGCTCAGGATAAAGGCACTTTTTGTTGAGGGCCCCTAACCAGAAGTTAGCCTTTTCTAGGTCAAATCCCACACTGTTGCTACTGATGTGAAAATGGAGATGAGTCACCAGTCCCCACCCCGTGAGAGGTGTGTGAGGGGTGTCTGTGGGCACGTGTAGGTGCACGTGTGTGTGCACAAGTGGGCAAAGGTTCCCTCAAGGGGCCGTGACATGAGTCCATCTCAGCTGAGACTGACCCCGGGCCTCTCTGGAACCATTTTAGGAAGTGCTATTTTGAGAAGTGACTACTCACACCGAGGGCTGACTTTCCTGCACTTGGAGAGGGAAGAATGAGCCCTTTATCCCTGACCCTCGCCAAATGGACTGCTACTTGAGCACGGGTGAAAGGTGGCCCCCGTCGGGCACACAAACTGTTTTCCTATGAAAGGCGGCTCTCACTGACCAAAGTTCTGCCAACAGGCACCCCCACCCAGGACATAGCTCCCCCAAGACTGTGCCAGACGGTCCACATCTGCTGAGCTCTTCGGGTCAGGATTAATTGAGTTAATACATGTGAAACACTTCGAGCTTCCACACAGTAAGTTTTCAAAACGTGGTAACTATTATGGATATTCGTGGTCCACTAATGAAAGGAAGAGCCTTAGTGACTGACCACCTGGTCCTACCTCTCACTTTACAGATGAGGGAACTGAGGGCAAGAGAGGGGAAATGATCTACGTGAGGTCACACAGCAACTTACTACCAGAGTAAGGATCCATTCATCCCTTCATTCATTGATGAGTATGTCCTGAGGACCCAGCAAGGGCCAGGTCTGTTCTGGGTCTTGGGAATAAAATGGTCAGAAAAAAAGGACCTGGTCCCTGCCTTCACAGAGCTAGTAGAGTTGAGGAAGACAGAAATTAATTCTATAATTATGAAAATATAATAACAGTGGTGTTACAAAGGATAATGATGAAAATATCCACACAGAGTGTTAACTATGAGCTAGGCCCTGTTCTAACCTTTATTAACTCACTCAAACCTCACAACAACCCTATGAAATAGCTACTAGAATTATCTCCATTTTTCAGATGAGGAGACTGAGGCACAGAGCTAATCAGAGGCAGAGCTGAGATTTGAACTCAGGAAGCCTGGCTCTACAGTCAGAGATTTTATACCGCTATGGTGGGCTTCTTTTATTCCCTTCGGCCCAAGATGCTATCCCAAAGTGGAGCACGCTAAGCAAACTTTGTAGCAGTCACTGGGCCACTGAGATCGAGGACCCACTGGCCCTGGGCTGGTCCACTGGAGTTGCCGTGAGAGCTGTGTGACCGGCTGGCAAGGCTGGGCCTTGGCCATACAGACGAGAAATGTGCAACAACTTTCTGGTTCACCTTAAGTGTCTTTCTAGCCAGTTTGCTTCTGGTTGATCAAATGGCTTTTAAGCTCAAGGGCCCACTTCACATTCATGGCTGCTGACAGGGTAGAGGTTCCATGAATGTGTGTTGAATGAGGCTCAGAAATACTTTGTGGCCATGTGTTTGGTTTGTTTTCTCTTTCTGGTTGGGCATGAGAATGGGGAACCTGGGAAAGGGCAGCTGATACCATCCCTTGTTCACTTATTTTGGTGTGGACAAGTGCAGTATAGCTGAAAGAAGGGTGTTTTTCTGAAATAATTCAAACCTTACCCTGTGCAACCTGATTCATCTGGACTCACTAACTGAGAAATTACGAGGATTCAAACAGGACTGGAGGTTTACCTTTGTAGTACCCATGAAGAAAGCATGTCTTGTATAAATGAGTAGTATAAACAAGGGCACACAATGCCCTATTTCAAAAAACAAATGACTTCACGTTATTTTGTGTATATAAATGCTGGGATGTCTGCGATTACTGAACTTCACAGAGGTGTTGTATCCATTCTTTAAGGCAAACCTGGTAGGCATTTACTTGCAGAAGTTAGTTTCTTGTGCTAATGACCAACTGCATTCTTTAACCATATTCTATGGTTGTGATTCTTCTTCCATTCAGACTAATCTTTTCCCCACTGAGTCTGATGTAATGAAGTGTGATATTCAGTATTCAGGAGTAGAACGGCTTGACCTCTGCTCTGGAAAGCTAAAACTAATTAGCCCTGCAGTGGATTTTCCCCTATGTGCTCAACCTTAAACCAAAGTACCAGGAAAGGAAAGAAACACAGTATCTTGAGTGTGTGATTCTTCTCTTTGGGAACTTGAAACTTATTAAGAACAGCTGCAGTAACCTCTCCAATTTACCTCCCACCCTCCAAAACACACACCATGTAGTGTTCAGTGCCACCGGCCTGGGGTTGAAATTTGGAGAATTTGCCTTTGAGTCCGTTTTGTCACTTACTGGATGCATGACCTGGGGCAAATTACATTCTGAGGTTTTCCTCGTCTTTAACACCTGGAGAAAATGCCTTCTTCCTGAGGTTGCTCTGAGAATTAAGTGAGCCTCTGTATTTGAAAGTGCCTAAAACAGTGCTTGACCCATAAATGTTCATGAAAAACAAAACGAAGGATTCTTTGTCTTTAGACAGTACCCTCCCCAGGAGAAGTGCTGATCTCACCCTTCTAACCCTAACCCTAACCCATCGACCTGGGCAGAGATGTTTTATAACTAACGGCTCCCCACCCCACTTTACAAATGGAGACAAAGGCATTAAGCACCAAGTGGAGGGCATGAGCGGGTGGTGGGGGTCAGAGGTCGTGAAAGGACCTTGCCTGAGAGCCACAGGACACAGTGGTGACGACGCTGCAGGACCCTTTCACCTCCCACGCCTAGTCTGGGTTCAGCGGGCTCCTCCACAGGCGTTCGTTTAGTCCTCAGCCCTTGGATTAGGACCAGCGATTAAATGATGATGCTCCAGCTGGGGACCGTTGTGGTTTCCGGGGTGGATGCTTCGACCTGTCTTTGATCACCAGGGACCGCACGGGCCTTTAGGAGCCTTTGGCTTCTTTCTGTAGCTAAAGGCTTTACAAATAACAGCCCAGAAAAACCAGCTCCAGAAATTTCATGAGGAGGAATGAGGGAGTGAAGAAAGAGGGAAGGTAATGCCAGGAGCTGTGGCTGGGATTTTCGCTTGATCTTGCCAGTGTCTCCTTACTGGAGCCGAAGCTCTCCCAAAGCAGGCACGCTTCCGTCTCATTCTCCCCGTATTCTCAGAGGCTAAGCAGTGCTTGCCGCAGAGTGGGCACTCGACAGTCGTGGGAGAGCGACTGAATGAATGAATGAGTGGGCTGCTTAGACTGTGTGTGACCCAGTCTATGGCAGCAGCTCTAAGTCCCTTAGGGGATCAGCGTGGGGGAGCACAGACTCTGTTCCCAAGAGAAGCAGTCCCTAGGGGAAAGGCCTCTCTGTGTGACACAGTTGGGACCTATACTGAATGCCCCAGGTGATGATTTAGAGGAATCCACTTCTTGGCTTGTCCGGGGATTACACCAGGGCTCCCCCTGGTACTGCCGATGGAAATCAAAACAGACGCCTGTTTGTCCCGAGGGCCCGTGGACCGTGGGTACACTCTGCTCGGTGCCCGCCCCCCGGAGGCAGGTCTGTGCTGACAGCTGATGTAACTGCAGCCTGCATCCCAGCTCACGTCCTGCCACCTCTGTTCTGGACTCCTGCAAGTGCTTCCTGGCAGCGCTCCCTGTTCTGCCAGGCCCCTTCCTCTCTGCTTCATCGTCCTTTGGCCCTTGCTGCAGGAGCTCTTTCCTAAGCATAGCTCTCATCTTGCCTCCCAAACCTGCCGCCCTGCCTGCCGCACACCACAGTTGTTTATGCTGCCCCACCTCCTGTTCACTCCTCTGTTCAATAAACAGTGGATGCCCTCTATGAGAGGTGACGGAGGCTGCTGCTTAAGAGCCTGGGCAGCCAGGGTCACACTGCCTGGGTTCAAGTCCTCGGGCAAGTTATCCTCGCTTCCTTTCTGCAAGGGTTACCATGGAGGTGTGGAAAGGGCTCGGCACTATGCTTGGCACGGGACAGCATTCAGTAAAAGCTAGCTGTTCTTTTTGATGGGTGCTGTGACCCGGAGATCCTAGACTTAATTTCTGCCTTCAAGGAGCTCTGGGGTCTCCTGTGGGTGTCAGGAAAGTCAGTGATGAGAAGTATGCCAACAGAAGGAAGCCCAACGCACCATGTGAGTACAGAGGAGTGGCACCGAATACGGTCCTGGAGGAAGGACGAGGGCGGTGTCAGCAAGTGCCGCACAGACAGTAGGATGCTTGTCCTGAACAACAAGCAGAAGAGGTTGAGGAAGAGAATCCCAGCCCGAGGCAACAGCATCTGCGAAGACCTGGGGGAACTGCACGTGGGCTGGCATGGCTGGGGCAAAGGTGGGGTATGGCTGGTAGGCCAGAAAGGCAGGCAGAGCCCAGATGATCATGAGTCTTGAGAGACGTGCTAAGGACTTGAACTTGACTTTGAAAGCGATGACATGCAAAAGAGGGAGGGTGTTATGGCCAGTTGGCTTTTTTTTCCCAAAAGATTCCTCCAGCTGCAGTATTGGGGATGGACCAGAGATGGGGCAAGTTCAGTGGCATGGCAACAGATGGGAAGGCTTTTGTCATCATCCAGGTTGGATAAAGACCTGATCTGAGGCAAGGACAGGGAGCGTGCAGAGACAACGAGGATGCAGAATAGGATGGAACTGGTGACCAGTTGTGTTTGGGGCCCAGTGCACAGGAACACGTCTGAGACAAGTGGAGCACCCAACACTGGTGCGACAGGTGCAGCCACTATCCCCCCTCACCAAGGCCACAGAGGAGCAATGTGGTTTGTTAGACAGTGAAGGGCCAAAGGCCTGAGAATGATCGGATAAGGGTCCATTTCAGGAGGACTCTTCTGGTAAGGCTGTGTGTGTGGGTTGGACTGAAAAGGAACAGATGTGAAACCAAGAGACCAGTCAGGATGATGCTGGCATGACAGTCCCGACAGGACTCCATGAGGGTCTGACTGCACCAGGAGTGGGTGGTGGGAGAGGACACAAAAGATTCAGTCTGAGAGTGGCTGCCCGAAAAAAAGGACAACAGACATTGCGGCTGCTTGGCTCCTGGGAGAGAGGTCAGAGGGAGGACAGAACTAAAGACATGTGGTCGGCACCCATGTACGTGAAAGCAAGTAGGGGTGAACTCTGGCTGAGCACCCACTGTGGGCAGCCACTGGAGGGAAGAGATGGCACTGAGGAAAAGACTGTCCTTTCCTTGGAGACACACAGTATGCAGAAAGTGCTTATTAATTGTGTTGAATTGACTAGACCTGGCACCATGCACACCAAGGCCTGGACAACAAGTGGGGCCACCGACTCACCTGTGCAGAGCTCCTGTGGTACGGGGAGTAGTGGAGCGGTCCCGAGATGGCTGTGTCGTGCGGGAGGGCCGGGTACTGGCTCTGCATTGGGGGAGGATGCTGGTTGCCATAGCTCCCGTAGTTATAGCTTCCTGTGTACCTAAAACGCATTAGGCACATTGAATATTGTGAGTAACAGCAGGGAGAGCAAATCAGTTTGACACCTTTAAAAATCAACCTCATCTACTTTTGTTCCTTTTTGTTCTTTTCTTCCTTTTTGTTTTCCATTTTTCTTCTTTCTGTTTCCTACCATCTCCACTCTGCGGCTTTGCTGTGATAGTTTTAAACTCCCAGGTGGGTTTTCCTCCTCCCCTCAGCATACCTCCCTCACCACCCGGCGGATGCGCAGGGAATGAAAACTAGCCCTGAGCAAAACATCATTAGTGATGGAAACCTCTTCTCCTGTTGTGGTAAAAAGCCCCATATTATAGCCTGAAGTCAAATAGGAAAAAAAGAAGCAATTACTTTGGGACTTCTGTTTTTGTATTGTTCAGGCCTTTGCTTTCCCATGTCTCTGGTGCAGGGGGGAAACACCACGGCCAACCAGGCGTCAGCCTCCGGTTCTAAGCCTGGCTCCACCACTTCCCAGCTGTGGGACCTTGGGCTACTCGCACCCTTGTTTCTCACATCTGTACTAAAAATGCTGCACATGACCCCGAGGGTCACTTTCTATTATAAAATAGTCTTGTGGAAACATAGGATACTATTACCACTATTCTTAATAACATCTTTACAGGAAAGACGCTGACATATGACCATGCGGGTGTCTGTTGTGCCATTTCTGCAGAGTCGGAAGCTCTCTGAAACAATTTCGAAGTCGATTTTAAATGTGTGGGGAACTACTCTAGGAGGCCCCGTGAGGAAATGGTGGCTGCCCCACTGATGGGTCAGGGGCACCTGAGCCTATGGAATTAACTTCAAGTATGCCCACAGCCAGGCCTCAGGCTACCACGTGGAAGGGACCTGAGCGGTCCTCCTCCGTCCCCTCCTGTGTCCCCCAGAGCTGGTCTGTTGGAACCTGGCTTGTGAGGCTTACTGTGCCTACATGGCAGAGTCTCGTGACAAGAAGGGCCCTTTTTAACATCATAAGTGTTTTTCAGATAACTGCACATTAGACACTGTGTGAGGAATGTCTTTTAATAAAGACAATGCAAAGTGGCAAAAAGCTGTTACCCTTTTAAATGGCTCTGTAGCTTATTCATCACAGTAACGTCACTACAGATTAGGGGAAAAAATATGGGCAAAATCAATGATTGATTTATTCAGGGCCCAAAGCGCCACTGGAACCCAGGGGGATTCTCTGAACCCCATGAATGACTGCTGCCCTCCAGGGACCTCCAGCCTCGGGTGAGGAAGCCCTCCTCCTGTCGAGTCATAAAAGACTTGGACCCACCATGAAGCTGTGTTATAAGGCTACAAAGTGCACGAGGACCATCCAGGGGAGCTGCGGGGAGGGAGTATTCAGTTTTCCTTCCTAAAGGAGGCAGACACAGGCTGTCAGCCTGACCCTCGCCAGCTGTGTGGCCTTGGGGAACTGGACTCGGTGCAGCCTCAACTTCCTCATCTGTCAAGCGGGGGTGACCCGCCTACCTCCCCTGGTCATTGTGGGGACTGCATGAGACAGTTGTACAGGGGCAAGAGCACGCTGAGAACTCAACAGAGGGCGCAACCTTCCTGTCCTCAGAAAACCACTACCGAGTAAACCCTCCCCTTTCAAATCAAACGTAAAAGCAAGGCAACATCCCAGGAAAGTCACCTACCCGTGCTCGTCTCTGTGGGGATAAACTGGGATCCTGTGTGTGACCGAGGAGGAAGGTACGTGTGTACTCCTCATACAGGGCAGCTGTTGGGAGTTTTCAGCTGGAGATCCTGCTGCCGTTGTCACTGTGTATGTTAGAGACCACGTGTATGACTGCATCGCTCCTGCAGAGACAAACGAAGGTGCATCAGTCAGTAACAGTTCTCACACCCCCAGTTCTTCCTTAGAATGCTAGTGGCTTCCCATTGCTCTTCAGCTGAAAGCCAAAATCTTTATAAAGCATGTGTCTTGGTCCTTGCTGATCTCACAAGAAGCATCCCCTACCCTCTGCCTTTGTGCTATCTGATCCAGCCACGTTTTCCAGCGTACCATGATTCCCGGCAACACAGGGCCTTGGCACATGCTGTTTCTGCTGCCTGGAATCCTCAGTTTTCCCTTAGTACCCACTCGTTCTTCATATCTCAATGCAAAGAAGCTGTCTCCTAACCCCAGACTAAGTCAGATCCCTTACTGCATGGTGGTGCCCACCACAGTTTGTAATCTTACACCCATTCATGAATGTGATAGAATTAATGCCTAATTCCCCACACCAGACGGTAAGTTCCATGAGGGTAGGAGTCTTGCCTATTTTGCCCACCATGAGGTCCCTGGTGCTTAGTGCAGAGACTGGTGGCCAAAAGATTTTCAATCAAAATTTTAAAAGGAAGAAAAGGGAAAGGGAAGACAGGAAGAAAGAAAAAGAGGGAGGGAAGGAGAGAGGACAAAAGAAAGCTCAGGGCGACGTAGCTCAGACGGGCTCCCCAAATAACTTCTCAGCACTCAACTAAACAGGTGTTAAGCATCCAACAAATTGCTTTAAGCAAAGATAAGTAGATTATTGGACTCTGCCTGCCCAGGTCTTTTTGAAGATTATTAGACAGTGACCTTAACGGTGACCTATTCCATACATATTATTAATTCCATTAATTTGCTTTTTAATTGGATACCTTGAAAGTGCTAGGGACTGGGAAAAGAAACTGACAAAATTTAAAACCTTCAAGAGACTTAGGAGCTTTCTGAGATAGAATAAAAAATGGTGATTTAAGAAATCACTAATAGTGATCATAAAGTCCTCAACTTAATTTCTGATAAATTTAGAATGTTGATATAATGGAAAGGATTAAACCTATTTTAAAAGGTAGCGGGAATAGGATTCAGCACCTCCTTGTAGGCACGTGGAAGACTGAAGAACTGGTCAAGGGAGGTCATTTTTAAGGTGAACTAAAAGAGAAAACTTTGGTCCTCCAATCCTATACCTTCTACGCAGACCATGTTTAATCTTGAAATTCTTGTGGGAAGATAAAGGAAAGGTTTTCATTTAAAAGTGGAACTCTACCATAGTGTCTCTTTGCTCTGGGTCCTAATTCTGCCATGCACTGGCTGTAAGATCTTGAGCCAGCCTCTTAAATTTTATCTGCCTTTCTTTCATAATCTGTAAAATAGGGATAATTACGCCTATTATATCATGTAAGTCATATAAGTCATGTAAGTCATACCTTGTATGACTGTTGTGAGGATTAACTGAGATAATATATGTCAAAAAGCCTGGCACGTGGTAGGCTTTTAATGATGTTCAAGCACTCTTCATTATGAATTCAGGTATTCTTACATCAGACTTTCTTAAAGTAGAAATTTCTTTATTTCCCATTTCAGATTCCAAGGAAGAAAAGACAAGTTTCTTGGGTCAGATTCTGTCAGCAGGGGTGAAACGTTTGAATAGCAACAGTGATTTAACTAATTACAGCAAACTTCTAAACCCATGTTCTTCTGCAAAATCACAAATATCCTTATCCAGCAGTATGGCTAAAAGCACCCCTTCTTGGTCTGGATATCCACACCATTATTTTCCCCCCAAAGATAATGACTTTAGCAGGCTGTGTGCTAGGTGTCATTTATAATAAATGCAAGAAGACTAGAAGGAAAAAAAAAAAACCCCAAATGATCATGTCTCAGAGGACTGGATTATGCCTGACTGCTCTCCTCTATATTTTGAACTTCATATGAAATTACATAACTGTTGTAATTTTTAAAAATACCCTTTTTTATTAAAACAGGTTATTGCTGAGGATGGTTTTAACATTTTTTTCATTTTGCTTATCTGTATTTTTATGTAAAGAATGTGTATTGCCTCTGTGAAAAGAAAAACATTATTAAAATGTATTAAAACAAATTTCACAATTAGAAATGGAATTGGAGGGGGTGGGAAGTTTGGGAAAACAATGAACCAGCCACAGCAAGCAAGTAATTAACCCTTCAAGGCCCTGGGACCTCAGGAGAGTACAGCGAGGTCAGTGGGTATTTTAAAAGGGGCAGTCGGGGAAGCCAAAGGATTTTCTTCCCCCAGCTCCGCAAGCAGTAGGAAGACACAGTGAGAATAGCCATCACCTGAGAGAATGCAGCACAAGTTACTTTTGTGTGAGTTCCTGGAGCACAGCAACGGTTCCTTATTCATCTCTGTATCCCCAACAGAGGGTTTGCCAAATAGTAGGTGTTCAGTAAATTTTTGTTCCATTGAATTTGTTGTTGAAGGAGTAAATGCTGCTAGAAATAGACGTTATCAAACAAAAAGCTAGTGGAACTCTCGGAAAAATGGGCTCCTGTGGTCTGGGAAACAAAACCCCTAAATGGCCATGTGCCAGCAACCTAACAGATCCACTCAGGCAGGCTTAAGCAGATTAACACCTACTGGCTTGGGTGAGAAACGCTCTCTCCCTGGGGAGCAGAAAAGAACACCCCTTGCATTCCCTTTCCTACCGGTGGGACCTCCAGTGAGGACTGCTGCTTCTTCGTTTTTAAGGAAACTAATAAAAGAAAATCTGTGCAGTTAATAATTTGTGCTTAATTTTTAAGACAGCTCTAATGCTTTTTATTTGTTGGTAAAAAACAATAGCAAACCTTCCATGTTTGTCTAATTCCCATCTTTCTCTTATTCTCCCCTCCCCGTTCCCCCACGTCTAATTAAAAGTCTGAGAATAGTGGTGAAAGTCCCTGATCTCTGAGAATCCTCTAAAGATCCTATAGGATTTGAGAATCCTATAAAGTTGTTGTCCATGTTATAGTATTGAAACTGCTAGAGAGGAATATTTTCTTTCCTTCCCATCCCCAGTAAAACATTCTTCTTCCCTGAGTTTTTGTTGTTGGTGGTGTTTACTTTTCTTCTTTTCTTGAAAGGGGTGCCTCAGGACAGGGAGGATGCTTAGAATATAAGAGGCAATCAATAATGTTTTGTTAAACAAGTGAATGAACGAATGATCATCCAACATAAACCAGTTCTCATACTAGTTTCTTTTTATATATTGACACATTGGATCTTCACAATAATCCTTTTGAGGTAAGTAGTATTACCTCCTTTTTCAGGTGAGAAAATTGAGGCCCAAAACTTGGTCAGGTAAGTGGCAGAGTTGGGATTTGAACCCAGATCTGCCCAACTCCATAACCTTTCCACAATAACAGTTGCTTCTCACACTTGCATGTGCATTTGCATCGCTGGGGATTTTGTTAAAATGCAGATCTGATTCAGTGGGAGATTGGGAGTTGAGCCAGCGATTCTGCATGTATAACAAGCTTCTAAATGATGACGATGCTGTTGGTCCATGGAGTACGCTTTGAGAAGCAAGCCTCTAGGAAACACTGCCTCCTGTCGTGCATCGTGTATGTTCAGGGCCATTACAGATCACAAGCTGTGAGACTCTGGTACAGACTTGTGAACATTTAAACTGCTTCCTAGCCTACCTGGCCATACCCTTCTGTCAGATTTTGGACCAAATCATTTGAACCTTTTCCCCACTAGGATTCTATGGACCATCACAGATGTTGCTCAGGTTTTGGGCCAGCCTAAGCCTTTCTTAGTACCTTCCTGAGAAATAAGCTCCTTTAAGTACGTCTAGATTCTAGAGCTGTCTTTCCCTATACATTAGCCAGTATAAATTTAAATTAACTAAAGTTAAATACAATTAAAAATTCAGCTCCTTAGTCACACTAACCCCATTTCAAGTACTCAGTAGCCTCAAGTGGCTGGTATCTACTGTTTTGGACAGCTCAGATTCACAAAAAAACAAAAAAAACGTTTCCATCGTCACAGAAAGTTCCATTTGAACAGCTTTGTTTCGGAGTATTTCTTACTAAACAAACATTTCCTGTAACCTTCAAAACTGAGAAGAGAAAGAAGATTTTATATCTATCTCCACACCCACTGGCTATCATCTATCCTAAAGGTGGCTGTGCTTAAGGAGAATATTTGCTGAAGCTGAAAACCTCATCTGTTTGAGTTACACTTTACCAACAGTTCCATGGCCAAAATCTGACTGACAAAACTGACCAGGGGCAGCAAATGCATCAGGTTCTCAGAGAGATAAGCTGATATGGCATGACCTGGCCCCTGTCCACCTCTGCAGCTTCCTCTCCTGCACCCTCTCCCTTGTTGATATACATCAGTCAAGTTCTCACTATGCCAGGCTCTTTTCTGCCTCAAGCCTGTACACATGCTGATCCCCACTACCTAAAATGATCTTTTCTTCTCCCCAGGCTTTATGTGGCTGGCCCCTTGTCATACTCCAGGTCTCAGATAAAGGTCACGTCCTCAGAGAGGCCTCCTCTGACCACCATCTATGATGGGTCCCCATAGCACTTATGACCATTCAAAATTATATATTTACCTGGTGCTTTACTTCTGTATTGACTCTCTTACCCACTAGAATGTAAGGATCATGAGGACAGCAACTGCGCCTGTTTTTCTCGCTTGTGTACCCCAGGGCATGGCACAGATTAGACGTGGAATTACTTTTTGCGGAATGAATGAACAGATGAATGAATGAACAAATCCAGAGGTTCCAACATGAAGCCAAACCCCTGGTGGTGTGAAGTCAGGGGCAGATTAAACAATCTATTTTCAACCCCAGCTTTTATTGCCTAATTTCATTCCTTTGGAGAAAAGGAGGCAGCAGGGATGGACGAGGAGGAATTCACTGGCAGGGACAACTCTGGGGCTCTGTGAGTGAGTCACTGCGGCTCTGTGGCGGGGCCGCAGTGTCCACCAACTCCCACTCACTTCAGCTGCCCTCAGAATAACTGAGCTTTTGTTACTTGGAAAGACTAGCCACCAGTTATCTTTGTTACATCCTCAACT